TACCTCAAAACGATGAGCAGCCACAGTCCGTCGCGTATTTCTGATATGTACCGCTCTTGGTGGAACCAAATGTTCCAAGTCACTTGAACACTTCCCGTAAAACTATCTATTGAAGAGAGACAAATCTCCAACCTCTCTTCGATGATTCAGGCTATCAAGACTGCACGTGATGTTCGCGTCTCCAATCAGGCGGATGGCTCTTTTCTGGATGAATTTCTGCAACTCTAGGGTAAGTTTGGGGGCAGAACTCCATAAATAAGAACAATACTCCAAAGAAGCTCTGATCTGAGCTTTATGAATCATGAAAAGTTGCTAAGGTGTGTACAGTTTTCTGGTTCGGAACAGTGTTCCAATCTTATGAGAAGCAGCCTTTGCAATTCCAGCGACATGATTTTGCCAAGTCATATTGGTGTCCATTTCAACCCTCCAACAAACTTATCGAAGTAGAAAGCGGAAATGTCTGACCTGACATTATTATGTCCGGTTCAGAGACATTTATCTTGGAGAAAATCGATGCCTAGGTTTTTGTGGCATTGAATTGTCTGACCTGACATTATTATATCTGGTTCAGAGACATTTATCATGGAGAAAATCGATGCCTAGGTTTTTGTGGCATTGAATTGAACTTGGATACTTTCACTCCAATTCGAAATCACTTCTAGATCCTCATTAAGATATTCTACTTCCTGATGCCGGTGAAGATGTGCCCTGGTAGCCGATGTCCTGGAATCCAAATGAAATGACGAGAAGAAACTGAAGTTAATTTCAGATTCGAAAAATGGTTTTCAAGCCAGATCACTTACGATTTTCTTTTGAGTCAATAAAAATGGGGTGATGAATTTTGAGTTCAAATTTACATGTATATAAACCATTTCTCTAAGTTGACGCTAAATCAAATAAAATTCTAAATACTGATACCTGAATTATATATCTATAGAGTGAGAATCATAATATCAATCAAATCAAAATATACTTTATTGTACGAAGATTTGCATCTCATTGACAAAGTCCAAGAAATACAACGTAAATAAAAGAAAGTTCTAAAAATGTATAAATGTACCTAAATATGAAAAAAAGGTCTAAAAAATGTATAGATAAAACACCACCATGTATGAAGTGATAGGACAAAGAATAAATTGTCAATTTATTGTTAAAAGGATTCGCTATAAAACTCTTCCAAACTATAATAGGGTCTATCAACAAGTAGGTTCTTCACCGCCTTTTTGAAATGAATATTGCTTAGATTTGCAGATCTCATTTCTAACGGTAAATGATTTAACAACTTACCATCATTATAGTATATGAAATCCTTGATTAAATTCGAAGTTGGGATGGGAAGTCTAAAGGTATAATTGCTATTACGAGTAGCATATGGAGTAGAAGCAAAGTTGAACTTCAATTTATGTTTATAAATAAGGCAAACCGTCTCTGGGATAAAAAGTGCGATGACTTACAATTTTATTGGCAGTGATCAAGTTTCTCTGGGTTTGACTTTACAGAGACATCTTAGTGCCCTTTTCTGTAATATCAATACAGAAGAGAGAAGGGATGAGTTGCATGCATGCGATGTGGAAATCCAACTCATTTGAAACCACTCTTGAGTTGTTTATGGTGATCGTCAAATTTCAGCCTATTATCAATGAATACACCAAGATATTTTGTGTTTAATTTATTTTGTAATATGGCAGTGTCTATTGGAATTTCATCAAGCGAACATTTGAATGATATATTCGTTTTGGATGCATTGAGAGACAGTAAATTTGCATTGCACCAGCTCGTCACCTTCTTCAAGTCGGATGATATTATTTTATTTAGCTCCACTGAGTTTTGTTTATTCCACAATATTGTAGTATCATCCGCGAATAGAGTGAAACTACCAGATATGTCAATCATAGACATGTCATTCATATATAGCCGAAATATAATAGGGCCTAACAGCGAACCCTGTGGTACACCAGATTCAATGGCCCTGTTCTCCGAGAGAATAAGGTTTCAATTATTCACCGAATGATTAAAAACTTGATATTCTCACACAAATGAAAGAAACGGGAATAAACCAGTGTGAGACAATGAAAAGGGAAAAAATATCAGGATATTTTTTTTGAAGTATTTTGAGTACTTTATTGTGAAATTGTTCTGACACCTTTCGATAAATTTACTGGGCAATACTATATTCACAGGGGGTTCAAAAATTACCTTCCGATACAATTTACAAGGCTTTCTGTGCATTTATTCTGACTTATCCTGTACATATCTAATGATATTTGAAAATTGAGCATTTTGATACATCCATGCAGCTTCAATTTTCTTTTATCTTATCTGGATTCGGTGTAAAAATAACAGGGAAAGCTGATTAGTGTGATAACGATAACAAATGGACTACCATAAATTCATGAATTACAACAATACAGCCTAGGCAGGCGGGAAATTGTGATGAGATGTGGGAGATAAGGTTTATTATTAAAAACAGGTAGACAGATGCTCAGCGGTGAATTATCGAATAATCGCAATTATCTCGTGCAAACACAGAGCGCAAAATTCTCAGAACGCGGCGCCTCAAACAACCCAATATATACCTTTCACAAGCTACCACACAATATGGTTAGAAACTCATATTATTTGGAGTCTATGTGAAATCGACTTCCTGAGACCGTTTTTTTTAATGGAATATAATACCTAACACAAGGTTCCAATTCAGCACAGGCACCACTTTCAGTATATCCATATCTTGAAGATATTCCTGATTTTACATGGAAGTAATCTTGTACGGACATTTTACTGGGCTCATAGTAGATATATTCAGTTGAAATGAAGCTGTATAAATAAATAAGTATAAAAACTAAAAAAACTAAGCAACACAAACTATAAAATAGAAAATAACTCCCCTCCAAAACTCCCCCTCATCCATATTTCATTGTTTGAAATTGTTCTTTGTCTCCTCGGCTAATGGTTTACCTTTTATTTTTCAAAGCCCGCCTGTAAGCAACATTCTTCTTACTTATTTAGAAATTTATTCAGCTGCCCTGCCTTCGATTGAGACAGCTGCAAATATCTTGGTACCTATACTAGTAGGGTAGCTAATTTTAATAATGTAACTACGGATAATTGTGCCCCGTTCCTTATGTATTTTATATTTTAAGAAGATTTTCTGTGCATTTTATTCATCTAAATTATGATTTCAATTAGGACTTTAGTTCAGGAACAGAGATCGTCAAATTCGCAACAATATGGAAGATTTAGACCTCAATTTTGGACATTTTGTGAAATATTTAGACATTGATGAGTCATGGTATTGCTAAATAACAAAGTTTTCGTTACAAAATAGAAATCTGTCAATACAATTTCGAGGTCTTGTAATATTACCAATAACAAAACAATTTACTGGAGGATTTATGCAGTACACCGGCAGAATAATACATATGAGCACTATATTTGATGTTTTATCGCCTTCAATAAGGCAAATCTGATGTGTAAATAAATTATTTTTATATGAACTTGTGGAACTTCAACAGTAACTAAGTTCCTAAAAGGTTGTTTAAAATAAGATCATCGACTGTTTTTAAATTTCAACACGCCTTTGCATTTTTCAACGTTCTGGTTGACACATTTTTAATAGGAGTTCAAATTTACAAATATAGGTAATTAGTTACAAAATTATATGAAAAAAATATACTTATTCATAGGTTTTATGCATAAGTATTTCAATAAATTGATTTATTTTCAGAATTCTGGAGTTTTCATGTTTGAGAGAAGTGAAAAGATTCACATAAAGAATATTGAATAAGTTGACTATTAATATCCGCAGTGACCATTGAAGGAGAAGAATAAATTTAAAATTGGGATAATTATCTGGCCAAATATGAAGCAAATATTACTGAATATATTTTGTAAAATGGACACACATTCTGATCTACATTTATTCATCAATAGAGTAACAAATTTTGCACATGAATGCACATACTGAAAGAAAAGTATAATGATGGTGGGAAAAGCATTCTCATTAGAAAATTATATATCAGGGGATCCAAGTTTACCTTTCAATCAGTTCTAGAGACAAGTTTTTTGAACGGTTGGGAACTAATAAAAAATGATCAGAAATAAAAGAGGGTACTTTTTCAGTTTTTGGAATTTGCTTGCTGGCAAAATCACTTATCAGGTTAACAGTTCTTCTATATGTAATTGATAAACAAATATAATGTTTTAAAGAAGGCTGTGAACCAATGGACTTTATATTTCCGAATGCAAAAAGTCGACAAATACATGGGATGAATTTTCTCGTTGAATAATAACAAACATTGTAATTTTTCAATAACACAAAGCTATACATAATTGAGACAGGTAATACAGTGTTATGAAAAAAGATGGGCCATCCTTCATGAAGAAATGACTGTTAATGACCCTCGTATATAATCAGTGTACGACTGTAGGATATCCTCGCCGATATCTGATAACGGCATTTTCAACAGAAACTTTGAAAATGTGTAGGCTATTTGGGATATAATGCTGGAATTATCACTTTGTAGGATTCTTCGTTTCTGAAATCTCAATTGTAGCACTAGGTACTTAAGCGGCTATAAAAAATATCTGCATTTCTGCATTAATAAGTACAAACGATCCAATGACTAATGCGAGATAGACATTCCAAGGTGTCCTTTGACCTACTTCAACCTTCTCAAACCAACCAACCATTGCAATCTATTATACATAGATTTTATATTAATATATTTTATCTGTGGGATACCTACATATTGTACATTCCGAAGTACCTACATTCCTTGCTATATTTATATAGGTGCTACCTCTAGTACTTGTTTTAAGTTCATTATTTTAGTTCAAGAATGAAACACGTGATTGGTAGTATCAGAATTCTAAAATATATCAACCGGACGACATTTCATTGAACTCTTCCGTATATTTCAATGTCCCGCCAATAAAACCAGTCGCGAAGTAAAAATCGAAGAGTTGCATTCTTGTCAAGCGGAAATATTCAAAGAATTTACCTTGTTAGGTGATATATCCATATCTGCATAAATTGTTAGGGTTGATTTCTTTCCTTCGCCTGCTAGACTGCTCGCTCCTATCGTGTTGTATTTCATCTTGCATAACAGTTAAATCCAAAAATGCAAGTAGTCACCAGGTACCCAGAAGTTCACTTTTTCTCAAAAGTAAACAGAGAGCATTGTAAGTTAATTGAATAAACTCCTGTAGAAATTTCGATCCTTTCAATTTTCTTTCTTAACGACCGTTGAAATCTTCTCGTCTTTTCTAGCCTCGGTAAAAAAGGTCACTCAATCGAAAATAACACGGTTGCACGATTCAGTCCGACTCAACGAATAGTTCGAGTCACAGAAACTTGTTGAATTCCTAATAGATGAAGCACGAGACGTTGTCTACGGACTAAGCAACTTTGGTTAATATGATTGTTGTGTGGAATGCCAAGCTTCGACTACTCGGAGTGGATTGTTCAGCGCTGTTGTCAGCTGTTGTAATATCGCCCAGTTTATCAGAAATATTGAATTACCATTTCACATGTTCACTGAACATTTAAACAAAATATATATCTAATTATTGCCTAGTCCATAAGTGCCATTTCACATAATTTGGTTTCGCCTTCATCGAAAATTATAATTGAGGTTTCATTCAATTGATGATTTCACACAGAGTAATTTATAATTTCAGCCAAGTTGCTCTAACAAATACTTTAAAAGTTATTAACAATTCATTTGAACAAAAAAGTTGTCCAAAATACCAAAAATGCAATATCTACTCTTCTCGACGCGTGTTTTCCCAACCAAATTGGCGTCTTCAGGATGTGAAGACCAAAGTTGTTATAAAAGAGGACAAAACCCTAGATGGTAGACCATGATTGAATTGAACCTGAAGTACCTGAAGTTTCGTCTGCTACTGCGGCAGACATCATCAGTGATATGTGCATTGACAGCAAGTGCGAAGATTATCAATGTCAGTCAGACGTTGTTGAGACTTCAAATGTAACCTTTGTCTTCGCAGTCAACACACATACCACCGATGGAATCAGTCGCAGTACCAGACGACACGTTTAGTAGTTCAGGTTTCATTCGATTCCGGCTGTGAGAGATAACGGTCTTATTAAAGTGGTGTTCGTTATAATATATCGTTATCAAATATCTCAAGAACTATTGCAGATATTCAAAATTGAAAAAAATTCTTGAAGGACAGAAAATTTACTAAAACAATTTCCACCTCGCGAAACTGTAGCACCAAAATTTGTAGTTTCGATTCGGTCGCTTCAACAAAAAAATTATTCAATCTATCAAATACGGATATTCAGGAAATGAAAAAATTAAGTACTTGGTAGAGAGTTGAATAAACAATGATAAAATGGCCAAACATTTTATCGTAATTTTTCTTTAATCATGCTTTAATATAGTTAGTTAATGATTTTTCACAAGTTTAAGTTTTACATAAGAGCCTTGATAAATTTAAAAATTAAAGTCTCATTTTTTTATATCTAGAAGTTATTTTTTAACTGGTTTATAAAAATGATTGCTAGACAAATTGAAAAAAAAATCCTTTATTCATGAACAGCAAAGAACTTGTGATTCCCTGTTTGGAACATTGGTGTAGTATTGGATATTGCTGGAGTTTTATCCCAACACCAAATCTTTATTTTTAACACCTCGACAACACGTGTTTCAATCACCAAGTGATCATCTTCAAGAGAAAGAATAAATTGTTGATTGAAACACGTGTCGAGGTGTTAAAAATAAAGGTTTGGTGTTGGGATAAATTTCCTGTCATATTGAACAGCAAAGAAGTTGAAAAATTGAAAAAACTAAACAATGCATTGTTTTTCGATTGGTTTGTTTTTTTTTTCGATAAAAGCTACATTGATAGAATTTTTTTCAATTTCTCATTATCATTGTTTGAAAAATTATTATAAACAAATGCATTATTCACGAGATAATATTTTTCTGTGATCTGATATATTATGTAAATAATGATTTAGAAAAAAATCGATTCATTTTTGCCAGTAAATATTAATACTGAGTAGGTAGCTAATTTTTTGAAGAGTCATTAATTTCATTGCTCCTTTGTATTCAAAAGACATACATTCTTTTAATATTTTTTCGATTTATTATATTATACAAATACAATACAAATAAATTTTCACTCTTCATTTTTTTAAGTAGTAATCGAATGAATAAAAACAACTATCTTTATGAAATTGAAATAGGAGAAAAAAACTAAAAAATCGAAAAAACATGTTTATTACAAAATTATATATGAATGAATGAATGAATGAAATGAACGGAAATTTTTTTTTCCAGTATGTATTATATTGCAGTGAAAATAATAGTTTTTCAAAAATATTCCATTTCGTAATAGTAACAAACTCTGGTGTGATCACTTGGACCTCATATAAAACATTTTGATAAAAACTCTCGACTTACTGTACTCTTGATAAAGAAATAATGATGAGATGCTATAAGATTCAGCCTCCCATTCACAGAGGTGCTGAGTACACTTAAAAGTGACATCAGGTTTGTTCTGATTCTCAGTTCGTACTGTTTCGAATCGTCCTAAATTAGTTAGTCAGTTGATTTGCTGAAAAAATTTACGTGGCAACACGTTCAGTATTCAGTTGGGTGACTGTTTTCTGATTGTTAGGAACAGTTCCAAGATACAACCAGAACATGCCTACTGATTAACAATGTCAAATTGGAATGAATTGCTTTTAAGTGAAACATTTTTCACATCATAGATAACCCATAAATAAAAGATCGTAATAAAATACGAACGACAGATTTCGATTTTTGCTTCAAAGTTGGGTGAATTTCATTTCTTGATTCGAGAGTGTGACAAAACAAAAGCGAATCTGTTCAAACACCAGGGTTTCTATTTTCTATGCATCTTTGTAGAGGTTAACTATTGTGCTGGTTTGAACAAGGTTGAATGTCAACTTCAGTATAGGAATGTCAGTTAGAAAACATTATGTATTTTCAATGTTTGAAGAGCAAAAATAATAAATTACTTCACAGCAGAGCAAGCACCAACTGGAAAACTTTGATCATGTCTGTGAGATTCTAGACTTTATTCAATGAAGTATTGGAAATATGTGAAAAGATCGCACAACCGAATCTAACCTACTTACAAAAAATTCGGATCGCCAAAGTAGGTCATAGATCGAAACAGAAACTTTTGTATACCTGTATCTTTCGCCAGTGCATTTTTACTTTCAATCAGCTGAAATCGAATTCAAAGAGCCGGCAACGCCGGCTTAAACGGTTTGTTCTTCCTCCGACCCCTCCGGCGTACCTGGCCGAAGAAAGCCTGAACATGAAATTCTCAAAAAGAAGGTTGGTGAGGTAAGAAGAAAAAACGAGAGACCAAGGAAGAGAAAGGGACACGATAGTTCAATCATTTCACCCCCCGTGTGGGATGTGGGTCACCCTTTTGTTTTGGAACGTTAGTGGCTTCTGTACAGAGTGGATTGAAATATGAAATCAGTTGAGGGTGTGAAGAATTAGTTTAGTGATGAAAAAGTGTCTTCAGATTTATACTGAATTGGCAATTCAAGTATGGATGATAAAACGGAATTTTATTAAATTCCGAATTTGAACTCACAATTTAGCAAATTTTTAAGAAAATTTGTAGGCTTTCTACGCGTTCGTAGGTTACTGTTTTTGGAAATGAGTATGTGGAGACCACTAGATTTCGATGAATTTTTATCTGAAACATAGAGTTCAGAGTCTGAATTAGACGAAATGTAGACTACGGAATTAAACGTCGAACTCACTTCTAAGACACCTGAGAAATGTATTCATATGTTTGAGGAATTATAACTTACGAAAGACAGGCATTAAATACATAGGTCGGTAGATTCAAAGTGGCCTCTACTGCAACCCGCGAGGGTTCGTTGAGACTAACACCTATTCAAACCCAACATAATGATACCACATTTTTAAGGAATCTGAATAACTTCATTTAGTGTGGGGCAAGCTCAGAGTCTGTCTACCAAGGCCTGAATTTCCTTGTGAAGAATAATCCACTCCAAGGTTGACAGATCCTGGTACATTTTCCTCAATCTAGTTAGGACGTGATCGGAGCTCAGTCTGCTACTACCTGTCTCAGGTAGGTAATCAACACGAATATGAGGCTTGAGAAATAGGTCTCCCATGTTAGGGAGACGTCATCCCATTGCTACAAGGTACTTAATGCACCCACCAGTAAGGAGACGCTCTTTTAATTCTTTCCAGTAACCCTTAGCCATCCAGGTGAGCAGCTCTTTCATCGTACGGCAGCCCACATTATCAGTACCGACCAGAATGCGTATCCTGGTCGATAATGAAGTCGGATGTTCAAGATGCAAGATTTCCATTTGATAATAATTGTATCTGACGATACATTAGATTCCTCCATGCAGGGGTTTTTCATGAGTGAAGACGGTTGCTAACTTGCTCTTCTGGTATTCAAAAATTTGATGCAAAGTAGATTCATAAGGTATACTGTTCTTAAGCCGCTTCCTGGATGCACAATCTAGCCTCTAGGTTTGTTAACAGCATCAAGAGTTGAAGAACTGAGAAGCTCTTACTCTTTATCCAGTGTTACAGGGAGAACAGTGGAGGTCATTTAATCAATCCTCTGTAGACTCAGGGATTCATTGGTAACTTCATGATCCATCAAGATTCCAATGAGTAGCTAGGAAAATTAGGTCCAGCACGACAGAGCGTCGGATTCTTTGGTTACTTCATGATCCATTAAGAGTCCCAGGAGTGGCTAGTAAAATTAGGTCCAGCACGACAAAGCCCCGTATTACCGTGACAAGGTTTTCTACGACCGGTATTTCGCTCAGTATTTTGAAAGTTTCGTTAGTGGGTTCAGAGTGAACTTGGAGTCATTCCTTTCAGCACAGATCCCAAACACGGGTGACACATTGCCCGGCAGGGGTATTCTAGTGCCCCATCTTCAGGGATCTGGTAATTGCGAGAGATAACTGCATGGGGAGTAGTGAATGTAGGAAAAGGCGAAGAGACAGTATGGTTAGTACAGATATAATACGATATATACGGGGGTGATCTGAAAAGATTAAGACCTAACAAAGATACCAAACATTTTTCAGCTTTTTCTTTGATTTTTCAACATAGTCTTCTTTCAACTCTACACACTTCTCCCAGCGATGCTTACATCTCTGTAACCCCTCCAAATAGTACTGTACTGAGCGTTTTTCTCTGCAAAAGAATTGTTCACGAAGGTTATTGCCTCTACATTTAACGAAAATACCTGTCCTCCGAACGCAAACTTTAAATGAGGGAACAAAAAGAAATCGCTTGGAGCTAGATCTGGCAAGTAAGGCGGATGGTCAAACAGTTGAAACCGTAATTCGTCGATTCTCGCGATGGCAACCGCTGAAGTGTGAGACGGTGCGTTGTCTTGGTGAAACAGAGTTTTCTTCTT